AGAAAGAAAGAAAGAAAGAAAGAAAGAAAGAAAGAAAGAAAGAAAGAAAGAAAGAGAAAGAGAGAGGGAGGGAGGGAGGGAGGGAAGAAAAGGAAGGAAGGAAGAAAGAAAACAAAAAAAGCAAAAAAAAACCAAAAAAACAAACAACACCAGAAAAACATTTCAGAAGTACACATTCTATCAGCAAACCATAAACTCAGATATAAAGTTCTCATGTGGCTGATCCACAAAGGAAGAGGTTAAATAAAAAGCAGAGGTGGGGGGTGTAATCTCTGGCAACAGTTTTGTAACAATTTAAACAAATGATTGCATTAGAACAGTGCAAGTCAAATGTAAGGAGTGTCAAAGATCCAAAAAGAACAGCTTTTTTTTTTCCAGAGAATAGTTTTTAGATGGCAACATAATACTTCTTTGAGATTAGTTCACAAGACTGCTTTACTGAATATGCTTTTTTTGAGACTAAAACAAGACGATATACAGTTTTCCTTTCAAAATCACTGTTATAATTTTAACAACTTAACTGGCACATTAAAGTCTACTATGTTTCCAAAAATAATATTATGAATGCCTTACAGGCATGCTTTCACATTATTTCAATTACGAAATACTACCTACGTGGTTCATTTTACCAAGGTGTTCGGGACACTTTAACAACAACAGCAATAACATTTACTGAACACTACTATTTGCCAAATGCATGCTAAATATTTATTTTCTCATTTAATCCCTCCCAAATAACCTGTCTCCCTTTAAACATAAGAAAACAGAGAAGTAGAAGAATACAGATTCAAATGCAGTTGTAAACACTGTGATACTGCCTTGTATAAGAATCATTAATGGGGCACCTGGGTGGCTCAGTTGGCTAAGCATCTGACTCAGGTTTGGCTCAGGTCATGATCTCACAGTTTCATGAGTTTGAGCCCCGTGTTGGGCTTTGCATGCATAGTGCAGAGTGCAGAGCCTGCTTGGGATTCTCTATCCTTCTCCTTCCCTCAATGCCCCTCCCCTGCTCACATGGTCTCTGTCTCTCTCAAAATAAATAAGTAAGCTTAAATTTAGAAAAAGGATCATTAACTAGCCCTTAACACAGACTATTTCATCCGAGATGGGCTATTATTCAGTCAGAGTATAAAAATTCATAAGTGCAGATTTAACGTTTTACCTTTAGTAAAATATTAAGTTTATCCTAGTGATGAATCATTACATTCTACTCCTGAAACCATTATTACAGTATATATTAACTTGGACTTAAATTTAAAAAAGAAAAAGAAATGTTTATCCTATACTCCTCTGTAAAACAACTAAGTGGGAAAGCTATGAAAAGCAGATGACACTATGTTAAGGATACGCATTACACAAATGTTCAATCATGAACTACATGCAGTTTTGTTTATCATGGAGTCTTAAACATTTAGCTAAGTGCCAGGCAGAGTAAACACTCAGTAAATATTAGCTGAATGAATGAAGGTAGTAAGAGTATTTCTATGTACTCCTTTATAGTCCAAGAAAATAATTCACTAATTTATCTATTATTTTATTTATTTTTAAATGTTTGTTTTTGAGATGGTGGAAGGAGGGGCAGAGAGAGAGGGAGACAGGATCTGAAGCAGGCTCTGTGCTGACAGCAATGAGCCCAATGCAGGGCTAGAACTCATGAACCGTGAGATTATGACCTGAGCCAAAGTCGGACGCTTAACCAACTGAGCCACCCAGGTGCTCCTATCTCTTATTTTTAAAAAATAATGTGACCTATAAAATAAAGCCTGCATAGCAAGCATTTGTCTGCTATTGCTATAATAGCCTCTCCATAATGTATAACCTTGATACTGTTATGTTTGGACCCCACACAACTCTAAATAATAGGTCATAAATACAAACATTCTAGCTTCAAAGCACTGAAGTTGTTGATTGTTTTGCCAGTTTTTAAAAAAGTTTTGAGTATAGTTGACACACAATGTCAGTTTCAGGTGTACAACACAGTGATTCAACTTCTCTACAGGTCATACTATGCTCACAAGTATAGCTACCATCTGTCAGCACGTAACACTATTATACTATCACTCACTATATGCTGTACCTTTTATTCCTTTCTTATCATTTAAATTTCACAGACTGATTCTTTTTAATGTTTTATGTCTTTATTCTGAAAGAGAGAGAGAGAGAGAGTGTGTGTGTGTGTGCATGTGAGCAGGGGAGGGCAGAAAGGAGAGGGAATCCCAAGCAGGCTCTATGTTGTCAGTGCAGAGCCCAATGCAGGGCTCGAACTCGTGAACCGTGAGATCATTACCTGACCTGGGCCAAAATCAAGAGTCAGATGCTTAACTGACTTAGCCACCCAGGCGCCCCATTTCACAGACTGCTTTTTAATGTAGGTGGTGTACCTACCAAAACTAACCCTATCCCAATGAGCAGAGCTGAAAACCGTATTTCTTTTCCCTTAGAATTTCTCCTAAATCAAACCACCACATGGAAATAATCATTTCCAGAGGGCAAGATTTATAGAGAACGCAAGTACTGAAAGAAAATATCATTTATGAGATTTTATGCCCACTTCCGGGAGGAAATATTAAGCTGGTAAACCTGGACTGTTTGTTTCCTAGGTTACTACCTCTCTCAATAGTACCTTCTAGCCCTAGCCGTGAAATACTCACTGAAGGATCCGAAATTTTATGGTTAAACACTAAGGAATCACTAGTTCATTACTAACTCAAATTCCTTTGCAGAAATTTACCTTAAGGACAAAAAATGAGGCAAGAAAAAGAGGGGACAGTTGATATCCCAGACAGCTCTATTCAAGTTTATGAATGATTTACACTTAAGGGTGGCAGGACTTAATGCAAATGAACGAGGAGGAAACTGTCAGCTGCATTGTGGTTCAACCAATAGAAGCACAGCTCCATCTTGGATGTGCACTGGACTGCATTACAAACAGACGATACCATCGCTTCAACAGCAGCCTTCAGACAAGAGGTAGGTTTATGCGATCTTTTGCATTTAGTAATACATGTCCTTATGATGTAATTTAAAAAATCTTTTACCATAAAAACCAAGCAGAAAGCTTTGTTCCGACTAAAGACCAAAAAAGGCACTGTATTCATTTCGCTGCTTGGTAGGATTTTATTATGAAAATGTGAAGACTGCCTTGTGCTATTTGATAAGCACCCTCACCATCTGTGCCTTATGGAAAATTCATGAGATTTTCTATGAACCTGATCTATATCCAGACCTTAGAGTAAACCATAAGCATTTAATGTTAAGTGGTTACTTGCTAATTTATTTTCTCTGAGCTATTTCATTTCAGCAATTTGGTCTGCCTTAACAAAGGGTTTTGCTTAAAGAAAAATCTAGACTAAAAGCAAATCCTGGACTAAAGCTTTCTGATTATATGTACAAATTATATTGCTGGTAAAAAGCAGTCACTTACAAGAAAGTTTGTTATATTTGTTATATTTTAACAAATATGAGAAAATAGTTCAAAACTGTTTATTTGACTTTGAGTGCAGATGCCGAAAATGCTGAGAAATTGTCATGATTGTGATTTTTACATAAAAATAAAAGGACCATAAAGGTTATCATCATATAGGCTGCATTATACTGTAACCAAAAAGATCAATTTGTGGAGCTTCAGACTTTCCTAACATTTTAATTAAAATTATTCCTTCCAGTTAAATTTTAAAATCTGTATTACTGTAATACACAAGTCATTCTATTATTAAACAACCTTCTTAAATAGCCTTACATTTTTTATATGGCACAAAAATATCTATTTATAACCATATTTCAATATAATTTTAACATTATTCTTAAACTGATCCTCAAACACATAGCAAGTCTTTTTAATAAACTACATTTTAAAATAAAAAGATGTTTTAAGAAGAACTGGTTAAGGGAGGAATATATGTACCTTTCGAGGTAGGTATTAAGATTATTTTCATGGCTGAGAGTAACTGTTCATGTCTATTAAAAAATCAGTATCAACTACTAGCCAAATTTCTAATTTTATAATAGTCAAGCATGAAAATATTGTTACTTAGTAAGGCTGGAGTTCCAGGATATTACCTACACATACTGATCTAGAGATTCAACTTCTGCCCTTTGCTGACAAATTTATTTCAATTTTAAGACTATTTTCCTAATTTTTATTCATTCCATTTCTTACTCAGCATTCAGAAGCATGAGCAAAGCATCCCTTGCAAAGCCCAAAGGTTGCTGTAAGAAGATATTATATCTCCCTAGGTTCAGTACAATGGGGTTAATTACCTAGAAAATATTCCTGCTTGCTGTACAAAGTATGGGACCCAAAAAAAGTCTCAAATAAAAAACCTTGTCAAATAAAACAGTTTACAATTTACCTGGAATTTCAGTTACAAATACTCTCCCCTATTATTAGCACTATAATCAGCCTACATCTTCCTGGTGATCTAACTATAGTTAGCACAGATGTAGGTTCACTGCTCTTTCACCAAACTGACCAGACGTGTGGCCTGCCTCAGACAGGTCCAGAGCTGGGTGCACTGCTCTATATCTAAAGGCCAATATGATTAATTGATCATATCTCAAAGTGATATGCTTAAAGGCACTAGAGAATTCAACTCAAGGGTTTTAACATAATTAGAGCAAAAGCATAATTTTATTCTTATCTGACAATTCAAGGTTCCAGAACACTTCCAAGTCTTAGCCCCATAAATATTTCACTAGGGCCTTCTGAAATGGGAGGGAAAGAAAGGTGAAGAGAATAGATCAAAAGTTAACTAAAACAAAAACAACAAAACACTACTTAATACTCCCCATTCCTGTAATGAAATTTTAAAGGGGAGGAAGATTCAAAAAAGTACACAATTTTTTTTTTTTTACCATTTACTCTTCTTTTTTCATAAAGCATGTTTAAGGGGCGCCTGGGTGGCGCAGTCGGTTAAGCGTCCGACTTCAGCCAGGTCACGATCTCGCGGTCTGTGAGTTCGAGCCCCGCGTCAGGCTCTGGGCTGATGGCTCAGAGCCTGGAGCCTGTTTCCGATTCTGTGTCTCCCTCTCTCTCTGCCCCTCCCCCGTTCATGCTCTGTCTCTCTCTGTCCCAAAAAATAAATAAAAAACGTTGAAAAAAAAATTAAAAAAAATAAAGCATGTTTATAGCAGGTATTTGATATAAACTTACATTTTAATTTCAAAAGTACAGTCTCAGAGTACAAGAAAATCCTAATAATACTTCTCTGCATGTCTAATTATGTCTCCTCCATCAAAGTAAGTTTCAGATTTTACCCTAAATTTAGCACAAAAAATTGCTAGAGCTCTACTGTACATAAAAATAAACCACATTAAATTTAAGGTAGAAAATGACCCCATATTTCACAGTGTACTTTTCAGATATGCCCAAAAGCTAACTAAAGAGTGAATGTTTTGAGTTGCTCATCAGTTATCAATACACTCACGGGAGAGGCAAACTGTCATCATTTACAACATAAACTGTCATCATTTACAACATGTGTATACTCTTCCTTAAACTGCTTAGACACTTCTAATCAAAATACTGTTTACTGATTCCAGTTTTAATTTTTTAGAAGTAATCCAGAAAACTCAATAAATATATTAAACAGATAGATAACACGACAGACTTTTAAAACCAAAGGAAAGGAATACTTTTAAAATATATTAGTTTGGGTTTGGATAAGTACTATATTCAAATGGTTCAAAAACTAAAATATAACAAGATATACCTTGAGAAATCTCACACACATCCCTGTTTCTCAGCTCTACCCTCCAACAAACCCACCAAGTAATCACTGTTATTTCTGGCCTATATCTTTCCAAATGTTTGCAGAGATTCAAGCAAATAAAAATATATACTATTTCCCCCTTTCCTACGCATACTGTCCTGCATCTTGCTCTTTTCACTTAACAGTGATTTCACCTAAAAATCTTTCCTTATCACTACAGTTACCTCATTCACACATAATATTGAATTGTATGGATATATTAATTTTAACCAGAATAGTTCATTGATGGGTACAAGCTAACTTCAAATAACTGAATTTAGTTTGTGTCTGCCTGCCTGCCCCTGCCTTCTCCCTTCTCTTCCCTCCCTCCATTTTTTTCGGGGGGGAGGGGTCAAGAGGGCTTGAAAAATTTTAAACTGTTCACTTGTACCTCAAAAACAAAATAGAATATAAAGTTCCTTAAACCAACTTTCAAATAATTCTTATTTTTTTTTTACATTTATTTATTTTTTGAGAGACATAGAGAGATAGAGCACAAGTTGGGGAGGGGCAGAGAAAGAAGGAGACACAGAATCTGAAGCAGGTTCCAGGCTCTGAGCTGTCAGCACAGAGCCTGACGCGGGGCTTGAATTCACAAACCGTGAGATCATGACCTGAGCCGAAGTTGGATGCTTAACCGACTGAGCCACCCAGGCACCCCAGAATTCTAACTTTTTTTTTTTTTAAGTTTATTTGAGAGAGAGCGAGCACAAGCAGGGTAGGGGCAGAGAGAGGAGAAAGAGAGGAGAGAGAGAATCCCAAGCAGACTCCCCGCTGTCAGCACAGAGCCCAACATGGGGCTCGAACTCATGATCTACGAGATCAAGACCTGAGCTGATGGCAGCCGCTTAACCGATTGAGCCACCCAAGCACCCCTCCAATAATTATAAAATTTCTATTTCATTTTGAAATAGGAACATACATTAGTCTTTACAACTTCTCCTCAGTTTTAAAGTCAATACAAGTGAGAAACCCCTATTCATAAAAAGTTAAAATACAAAGTAATAATTTCAGTACAATTTCAACCAGGTAGGAGTTATAGATTTATATTGCCAATTTCTAGAAGGAACAAATTAAAAGTTTGATATGTTAGCAAGACAGGATTATTAGCTAAGTTTTTAATTTTTTTAAAAATTAGTATAATGTAAAAATTAAAAAAAATTACCATAACACTTCTGAAATCAATAATTAAATAGTACTTAAGTTAATTAATAAGGTACATTAGACTAATTTAAGGGACATAATGTGGGAAAAAATTCCCAGATTTTAAAAAGGTATCAATCTGGGGTACCTGGCTGGCTCAGTTGGTAGAGCATGCAGCTCTTGATCTTGGGATTGTTTGAGTCCCACAATGGATTTAGAGATTACTTAAAAATGTAAATCTTAAGAAATAAAAAAAAAAAAGGAATCAACCTGAAAGGCCTTGACAGAAAATCTAAGGAATATTCTCATCAATGCAGGAGAGATCCTAGGTTTACCCAGGTAAAATTATTAGACAGACCCTCCTGTGTTTCTTCTGCTTTTTATCTATCCATATAATAAATGGCCCTGTTCTTTATTTCCTCAAGGTCCTATTCTTCTTCTCCTTCTCTTATATTTGCTCTACTTTTCAAAAAGGACCCAAAACTCATTCACAGTGAAGTAAATATAACAATGTGTACTATCCCTCCCAAAAGGATCTGCATTTTAGTAGTACTAAAAATTTTAAAGGACTTCCAAAGCTGAACATCTTCTAGGCATTTGTGTGTCTGCACACACGTCACTACTCTGTTAGGAAGGCTGGGTCAAAAAGGACTATTATTTGTCTCCAGTTGAGTCTGTTTCTATGGGTTACTTTACTTGGGTGCATGGTGATGAGAATCAGAGGCAGCACCAATGCAGAGGATGGAGGACTGGCCTATCAGGACATCCACATTAGACTCCCGGGGCACCACTTACCATGTATTCTACATGAATGGCACTCACAACACAATATGAATGGTGCCCCCTGGAGGTCTGCAATGTAGCAGCCCCAGTTTCTGTAAGAATGTGCTAAGAAGTGGAGCATCAGAGTAGCTTACTCAATTAAGCATCCAACTCTTGGTTTTGGCTCAGGTCATGTTCTCACGGTTCATGACATTGAGCCTTGAGTCAGGCTCCATGCTGACAGCACAGACAGAATCTTGGCATTCTCTCCCTCCTTCTCTCTCTGCCCTGACCCTGATCACATTCTCTGTCTCAAAATAAATAAACATTAAAAAAAAAAAAAAAAAAAAAAAAAAAAAAAAAGGAATATGCTAAGAAGAGAAAAATTTAAGGGATAAAAGAGGGTAACTCTAAAAGGCTGGGTCTCCAAAGTTTGAAAATATTGTAATGTACTGGGAAGTTCATCACATACCTGTGTTCCAGACAATGTATTTTTGTATGTCCCAGAACTAATAAAAGCAACTGATTCAGTTACTGTCCATTAGTCTGTTGTCCCTTGTTACAAGATGAAGGATCACCACAAACCATGAAACTGAAGCATTCTTAAATCCAAAAAAAAAAAATGAATTTAAGCCTTGACTTCTGGCCTCAGGGTTTTTTTGTTTTGTTTTGTTTTGTTTTTTGAAAGAGAGAGCACAGAGAGAGAACAAGAGCGTATGCATGAGCAAGTGGGATAGAGACAGAGGGAGATGAATGGAGAGAATCTTTAAAAAACTTTTTCTATGTTTTTATTTTATTTTTGAGAGGGAGAGACAGAGTGCGAGTGGGAGAGGGGCAGAGAAAGAGGGAGACACAGAATCTGAAGCAGGCTCCAGGCTCTGAGCTGTCAGCACAGCCTGATGTAGGACTCGAACTCACAGACCGTGAGATCATGACCTAAGTTGAAGTCAGACGCTTAACTGACTGAGCCACCCAGGTGCCCCAGGAATGCAGAGAATCTTAAACAGGGTCCACACCCAGCACAGAGCCAGAGTCAGGGCTTCATCCAAGGACTGGTGAGATCATGACCTGAGATGAAATCAAGAGTCGGCCACTTAACCAACTGAACCACCAAGGTACCCCTCAGATCATCAATTTCACCTTCAAAATACACAAAGGAAGAACCAAGTCCATCCAGAGAGATGCAGTTACTTGCCAAGCAAATATGATTTAAAGGAAAAAACCTTTCGTGTCCCTGGCTGGCTCAGTCAGTAGAGCATGTGACTCATGACCTCGGGTTGTAAGTTCAAGCCCCATGTTGGGCACAGAGTTTACTTAAAAGTGATAAATTATAAAAAGAAAACAAAAACCTTGGAAAGTATTACTTTATTAAAGTTTTAAGATTACATGTATAAAGAAAACAAAAATTTAAGGAATTATACTGTTATGGATTTGGGCTTTAAGTCACTTTTTCATCTTTGTTGGTGTGACAATGCTATGGTGGCTATGTTTACAAACAGAACCCTCACCTTTTAAGAGATATGTACTGAAGATGTCTAGGAGAAGTGATGATGTCTGGGATTTGCTTCAAAATAATCTAGGGGCATGGGGCGCCTAGGTGGCATAGTCAGAAGAGCATGCAACTCTTGATCTCAGGGTTGTGAGTTCAAGCCCCACACTGGGTATAGAGATTACTTAAACAAACTTGAAAAATATAATCTATGAGGTAGAAACAAATGGGTAAAGACAAATTGGTAACTGAAGCTGTATTATGAGAATACAGGGGTTCATTATACTCTTACTCTTCAACTATCTTAAAGTTTTGTCTAATTGAAATATACTCTCACACACAAGTATCTTCAGCATTCAGAATACTATCTGGGACACAGTACGTAAATATTTGTTTATAGCAATGAATGAAAGTCTATTTACAACTATGTAGGAAAGAAAAATCACACAAAATAAGTCATTTCTTTAATAAAATAAAGCTTTCAAACTGACAGCAGTCATTGAATTAATAAAGTGGAACTATTTTTTCCCCTTATTTCCAAAATTTTCTCAGTATATAAGCATTTTATAATTTTTTAAAATTAAGTTTCAAGAAGAGGTGCCTGGTGACACAGTCGGCTAAGCATCTGGTTCTTGGTTTCGGTTCAGGTCATGATCTCACAGTTTGTACATCAGAGCCCCTTGCTGGGCTCCATACTGACAGTGCAGAGCCTGCTTGTCTTGCGCTCTCGCTCTCTCTCTCTCCCTCCCCCTCTCTGCCCCTCCCCCATGCACATGCATGCTCACTCTCTCAAAATAAAAATAAAAGTAAAATATTCGTATCCATAGATCATTCAGGTATATGAAGTTAATACTATCACATACTTAACAAAAAAAAAAAAAAAATCCTAAGATTAAGGTCTCTTCATAGGCAACATGAACCTAAAATTTTATCATCCTTATTCTGAAAACCGTCATTATTTAGCTTTCCTTTCTCTAGTATTTTCACTCAGCCACTATATCTTGATTCAGGTCACCTGTCTTCAAAGTTTAAAGGAGAGGAAATAGGAGACAGAAATACACTGAGCCCACAAGGTAAGAAGGATCCTCAAAGTTAATGAGAAAAGCTTTTCTGGGGGCAGTATGAAGAATACCACCTTAAAACACTAAGATTTTTTTGTATTTAACAGATCATTGACCACTGCTTTAGTTAAATTTTAAAACAATTCAACTTCTTTTTCCCCCTTCTATTAGCAGTTAGTTTCTGTATATAAACCTTAAGCATATGTATTTGTCTAGCAAATGACACACATGAAAAAAACACATGGTATGGGGGCACCTGGGTGGCTCAGTTAAGTATCCAACTCTTGATTTTGCCTCAGCTCATGATTTCACAGTTCCTGAGTTCGAGCCCTGCATCGGGCTCTGCACTGACAGCATGGAGCCTGCTTCAGATTCTGTGTCTCCCTCTCTCTTTGCCCCTCCCCACCCCTTTAAAAAATAAATAAATAAATAAGCATTTAAAAAATATACATATATATATAGTATGGTTTACAGAGTACACTGCCATAGGATAAAGAAAAAATTCAAAAATACCATTTGGGCATTAATTCTGGCAGAAAATAAAAGAACTCACGTTACCTACATAGATTTACTAACAAGTCTTAGTACTGAGACTTCAATTGACAGATCCATAGAATTTGATTACATGTATTCATTTTCTACCTTTTTACAGATTCAAAAGAACCAATACAAGAAGTATAATCCCTAAGAATGGCCTCTCTGAGCTCCAGCCTCTGGAATGAAACCACTACATCTGTTTATCAGTACCTTGGTTTTCAAGTTCAAAAAATTTACCCTTTTCATGATAACTGGAACACTGCCTGCTTTGTCATTCTGCTTTTATTCATATTTACAGTGGTATCTTTAGTGGTGTTGGCTTTTCTTTATGAAGTGCTTGACTGTTGCTGCTGTGTAAAAAACAAGACTGTGAAAGATTTGAAAAGCGAACCAAACCCTCTTAGAAGTATGATGGACAACATCAGAAAACGTGAAATTGAAGTCGTCTAGCACTCTACCTAAGATGAACAAAATCTCTGCAAATAGCCTTCAACTACTGAAGAAAAAAGGAAAATTTTCTGAGGCCAACTGTTATTATAAAACTGACTCTTGAGGGGCACCTGATGGCTCAGTCAGCTAAGGGTCTGACTTCAGCTCAGGTCATGATCTCGTGATTCGTGAGTTTGAGCCCTGCGTTGGGCTCTGTGCTGACAGCACAGCTTCGGATTCTGTGTCTCCTCTTCTCTCTGTCCCTCCCCCCCGCTCACACTCTTTCTCTCTCTCACAAAAATAAATAAACATTAAAAAAAATTTTTTTAACTGACTCCGATTCTGAATAATTAAAAGATTTCTAATAGAAGGGAAAAACAAGTTAAATATGCACTTTTTGTTTGTGTATCCCTTTCATTAAATATACACAAAATCTTCACGAATGTGAATAAGTTACCAATGTACTTAAAATGATACTTCAAAAACTGGATAAAAGATTCCTAGATTTCAATATTAAGCAGCAAAATGTAAGCTAGAAAACACGAGAAAGATCAAATAACTTTGACCTACACAAACCATGTAGACCAAAACAATAACTACCCTCTGTGTGTTTTGGTAATAAAAATGCTATTTAAAATGCTTACCTAAATCCAAAGTAAAATGATTCCACTTACACATAAAGTCTCTACTTATTAAAAAGCAGTATTTGCTAGTTTACAGAAGACAACTAATACACTTTTTAAAGACCAGTTTTATGTAAAGATTAGAGAGGAAAAAAGTCTGAAAATAGAAAGGTCACAAGTATACATGCATAAAATTTTCATAAAACTGACTTACTGTTTAATAATAAATACATGGTATAAGAAGGATCAGGCTGTTTTCAAACTAAAACTTTCTAGTACACCCTTAAATTGTATTTCTTGAGCTTTTTCTTTTGTTGCTCATATTTATTATTCTCAAGGTCTAAAGATACCTATGTAGGAAAAGACTGCCAAAAAAAAAAAAAAAAAGACAAAAATGACCATGTAACACCTATTAAGAAATACTTCAGTTTCTGGGTGTCTGGGTGCCTCACTCGGTTAAGTGTCCGACTTCAGCTCACGTCATGATCTCACAGTTCGTGAGTTCGAGCCCCAACGTCAGGCTCTGTGCTGACAGCTCAGAGCCTGGAGCCTGCTTCAGATTCTGTGTCTCCCTCTCTCTCTGCCTCTCCCTCGCTCACACTCTGTCTCTCAATAAATATTAAAAAAAAAAAAAAAAAAAAAGAAATACTTCAGTTTTATTTCTTGGAATTACAAGGGCTGTAAAGATATTATATTTTATAACCCTAATCCTTTGCTACCACCCATGAGCAAACCTAAGCATGCTCTTAACCACTACAACTGCCCTTAACCAGAAATATCACTCCTAGAAATCTACCCTGAGAAATTAGTTCAAAAGAAACAAGCTCAAGATACAAAGATATTTGTAACAGCATTACTCAACGTAACACCACCACCAACAAAATGGAAATAATAGCCTTTACATATGACACATCAACCTAGATTAAAAAGCTACTGAAAATTAAGGCAAAATAGAAAATATCTGATATATGAAGTGAAAAAATATATATCTTCTCATTTAGAGAGCCCTCTTGGTTTGAAATCCCTTTTATACAAAATTTTTTTTTCTAACATTAGAAATACACACAAATAATGTAACCAACTTTCAAAGGACTTGTGAAACCTGGTATACTCAATACTTAGGGAAGTAGCTATTCTGAGCACTGTTAAAATCACATTTTCATAAATAGTAAACTCTGGAGTCCTTAACATGGATGGAAAGCATAAAGATCCTTTAATTACTAAATTTCTTGATAACTGACACTTAACTTTTCCCTACCTTATGCTGTAATTTATTTAGGCATTCAACAAACATGTATTTGACAAACATGTATTGAGTGTTTCTCTGTGTGAAAGATTAGGTTACAATGGCAAACAATCATGCAATTGCAATGACACACAATAGCTTTGTCAGAAACAGTGAGTGCTATGGGAATCAAAGGCTAAGCACCAAATTCAAATAGGAAAGTAGAGATAATAGGACTTTTAACCTGCAACCTAAAAGAGGAATAGGATTTACTCAGAAGAGGGAAGGAGCTAAGAAAGAATATTCCACAAAGAGGATACAATATGGGTAAAGGTCAAGAGGCAAGAGAGTAAAGCATGTTAAAAGAGCTACATACAGGCCAATATCACTAAGAGACAGTACAAGGAAAACAATGATTATGGGTATGAAAGGTAACGGGAGACTAGATCAGGTAAGGCATGGAGATGGCAGGAAAAGATAACCTTCACCTGAAAAGCAATGATGATCAGCCTTAAACAGAGACTGATGTTATCAGACGATTAGAAAAACCACTGACTTCTGTACAGAGAGTGGACAATAAAGAAGTTAAGCCAGGAAACCTTGTAAGCACCTAATCAAGCAATCCACTCATAGTGACCCCAACTAGGGTGGTATGACAGTCTTCACTGTGTACACTCAGTACTTCCTGCTCTCCTCTGAGCACTTGGAACACCCTATGGCTGGTACAGCCCTGTGACTAGCTCTAGACAATGAGCTGTGAGAGAAAGTGATGTCTCACCTCCAGGCCACAGGATTTTAACTGCCAAGCAAGATCTTCCAGAGTTCTTTCTCCCTCTGGCACTGAAATCAGTAACACTGGAAATATCAGCTACTCTACCAGCCTGGGTTCTTGAGTGACTGTAAGGAGGTAAGACCCCTGCCAACACATGTTAAACACGTGGTATGAAAGAGAAACAAACCTTTGTTGTTTTTAAGCCACTGAGATTTTGGCTAAAAAAAAAAAAAAAAGAAAAAAGAAAAAGAAAACAACAAAAACCCAAAAGCCCAAAATTATGTCACTGTGACCAAGTTCCAAACCTTGTGCTTAATACATAATCTAACTGCAGTTTCAAACTCCCTCAGAAATGTAGTCTTAAATCATCAGTCAGGAATTTTTCCATTAACACCAATAAGTATGCCAACATGGACCCTCTCCACCAAAGGAATATGAGGTTATCTGCATTAGACTCCTAGCTTTTCCTCCCTAGAAAGCAGCCTGGCCTAAAACAATCCTTTTCTTTTGCTAATAACTTTCTTGCCTCCACCTTCCTTCTATAAGAACTGTCCATTTGCTACAACTCCTCGGAATGCCTTGCTCAACAGGATGCTACCTGAATCATAAATCATGTAATAAAGCCAATTAGATCTTCAAATTTACATGAATTTTTGTTATTTAGCAGGAGCAAAGTCATTCTTAAGCAGATCAAAGAGACTAGGTCTATGAGTGGGTCTGTGCTAATGTTTATTTTTAAGTTTATTTGACAGAGAGCACATGAATGCAATCGGGGGAGGGGGGAGGGGGGAGGGGGGGGGGAGGGGGAAGGGAGAGGGTCCCGAGCAGGCTCTGCGCTGTCATTGCAGAGCCAGGGGGTGGGGGTGGGAAAGAGTGAAGCTCTCGGG